AAATAGTAATAAAAATCCTAGCTCTGTCAGACGATTAATCACGATTAATTGTTTGACAGCACTAACAATTAGTAATACAGTACTGTACTAAAACTAATCTGAAGACATTATCATTATTATCTGAAAAATAATAATCAATAATAATAGTAAATAATTATATTTAGCTTTGTTCAATCTGATGACAATATTTCTGCTCAGAGCTCATATTTGATGTTATTGATGATTATGTCATTAATAAATGGGAGGTATGAAATCTTATTAAATCTCATATTTTATTAGAGGTAAACAGTTGTTGACATACAAGTAAATACTGAAGAGGTTTGAATTGTTTCTAGGCTCTGCGTGTGGAAGCCTGCCAGCCATTCGTGTTTATTCTGCACAGATCTGTGCTGACAACTCACTCAAACAGTCAAGATGCAAATGATACACACACAAATACCAAAGTTATTCACAGTCAACGTCCAGATGTGCATCGGTGAACTCCTCATCCAACTTCTCGAAAAACCCCAATCAGATGAGATGAGATGAAGAGTGTTTCCAGTGCAAGTCAACAGTGTGACTTTCTCGATCAAACAAAAGCACTGTGTTTTCTTTCCATATTTAATTTTGATTATAGCACAAGACAATAATCACAATATTTACATAGAAATAAATAGTGCATTATTAATTCTTTTTATTTTTTACTTAAACACTATTTTTAAAAATAATGATATTTTATATAGAAGTAAATGGTGCATTTATTCACTTATTTTAACTGAAACACTACATTAATTTGAAATAATCAATTTTTTCTGTTTTATTATTTTATATAGAAATAAATAGTGCAAATAGCGCATTATTCACAATATACATTTCTATATAAAATAATAAAATATTAGAAAAAAGTCATATTATTTCAAATAAATGTAGTTTAAGTAAAAAAAATAAAATAAAGAGTAATTTATATACATGAATTATAATATGTATATAATGAAACAAAAGTACTATATTTTGTTTCCATAATATTTATTTTTTATTATTCAGAATTTTGAAGGGATTTCATAGCACTAGACAATAATCACAATATTCACATAGAAATAAATAGTGCATTATTTATCCAATTATTTAACTTAACTTAAACACTACATTAATTTGAAGTAATATGAAATATTTTTTAAATAAAATTACAATTTTTATTATTTTATATAGAAATAAATGGTGTAAATGGTGCATTATTCACAATATTAATTTATATATAAAATAATTAAATATTAGGAAAAAAGTATGTAGTGTTTAAGTAAAGAAAATTGAGTAATTTATATATATGAATTATAATAAGTTTATTCTTAATAATTATATATCATTATTAATAATGTTTAATAATTATTACTAAATCTAATCATTAATAATGCAGTTATTAGTTGCTTATAAGAGTACTTACTTTAGGCTTTGCATTTATATATATTTAGACATTTTCCAAAGACTACTTCATCATGGCTGATTTGTAGATTGTATCCAAAAAATTGCTCTGCATTTGGTTACACTTTACTTGAAGGGGTGTGCATAAGACTGACATGACACCTTCATAATCATGACATGACACATGTCATGAATATGAAGGTTTTTTATGCATGTTTATGACAACTGTCATTAAGTGTCATTCGCTCAGTTATGTAATTTTTAATGCAAAGATGACATTGTTTGAGATGTCTTTGTTATGGGCTATGGTTAGGGGTAAGGGTTAGGTCAAATAATGTCATATTTGCATTAAAAATGACATAACTGAGCGGATGACACTTAATGACAGTTGTCATAAACATGCATAAAACCTCCTTCATATTCATGACACGTGTCATGTCATGATTATGAAGGTGTCATGTCAGTCTTATGCACACCCCTTCAAGTAAAGTGTTACCCTGCATTTTTTATATTTCCCATTAATTTCCGATAGAGATAATTTTTAGCCATTTAACCTTTTCGCATTTTTCCATTTCCACTATTCCATTATTCCTTTCTGCAGAACAACAAACGTGTGAATATATGGAGCAATGCTGTATATTTCCATATATCTTATATGGAAGCATAATTATACCTCTTATCCAGTCTGTGTACATACATACATACAAAATTATATGTTCATTTTACCTTTTATGATTTAATTAATGATTAGCTTTTCATGAACACAGTTTTGGAAATCCTTGGCTAGTAAATAAATGCTTCTGTAACAGTAATTTTTTACAAAAAAAATATATATACACACACATTAGTTGTCATGTTTATTGTGTATAATATATATATATATATATATATATATATATATATATATATATAGTTTCAAAAACACAGACAGCAGCCTTAATTATTCAGAAAATTAAAGCTACTAAAACTTCAGGCTTCACTTACAGACTTAAAACTGTGTGAATAAGCCAGACAAATGATGCTTCACCAATAGCTTTTAGCGGCGTTAAATATTTGTGCAGAAATTCACAGCACCGATTCATTGGATTACAGTTTATATGCTGCTTTTCCAAGAAGATATCACCCTCTAGAATCTACTGTAGATAGTATTATTAGTTATATTTATTTGTACTTGTTATAAAATTGTATTATACGCTTTTATGTGGAAAAAAATCTTACTTACCTCTATATATATCCACACATTTTAATGTTTTATGAATTAAATAAAGATTAAATATATTATAATTATTTATTTTGATATTTTAATATTGTATTAATTATTTTTAAAGGGGTCATAGGATGCTACATGCACTCTTACAATTAGTTTGAACTGAAATGTGTGTTTGCATTGTGTGTACACAACCATCCTATAATGATAAAATTCCACCCGGTGTTTTTACTAAAATCTTTACCCCTTTCTCAAATCGAGCCGATCTCAGATGCCTGTCTGTGTGATGTAAGAATGACTCCTAAGCGATTGAGGTGTTCTGTTGTTGGATGTAATAATGAACAGCAGTCATCATTTACTCCCGACATCTGAGCCGCTGAAGACGCAGTGGATTATATTGTTTCTGAAGAGAATGCACCCCCGATCTACAGAAATATGTTCGCGCAAATCATTCGTGATGCAGCTTCACCAACAGAAGAAGTGAGTGTAAGGTGTTTTAATGAATCTTTGCAAATCGCCTTTCCTAACAATATGCTAATTAGCAAGTTTCACGATAAATGCGGTTAAAGTCTCTCTGAGAGCAGCTCGGAAGAGAGGGGCGGAGTCAGCAGAGCTCATTAACATTTAAAGTAAAATGCTACAAAACTGCGTGCTCTGAAAAGAGCTGTTTTTGACAGGGTAAAAAAGGTGTTTTTTACACTACCATCGATAAATTTGAACATGTTACAGACTTTTCATTAAGATCCTAAAGAATCATATCAACTTGTGGAAAATGGGCATCCGATGACCCCTTTAAAAGTAACAAAACAGCTATATTGCGATTATTGGGTGGCTGGCGCGCGACAAATAATGAATAGACTTGAAAACGTTAAATATTATTTTCAAGCATTTATACCGTCAATAAATCAGCATGTTGAATAGTCATGTAATGCTATTTTACTCAGAAAGCACAACAGTAAAGAGCGCTGGAGCCCACATTAAAGGGATAGTTCACCCAAAAATGAAAATGTGATGTTTATCTGCTTACCCCCAGGGCATCCAAGATGTAGGTGACTTTGTTTCTTCAGTAGAACACAAACGAAGATTTTGAACTCAAACCGTTGCAGTCTGTCAGTCGTATAATGGAAGTGGATGGGAATCATGGCTTTGAGAGTAAAACAAAAACCAAATGAAACCCTGCGGCTCGTGACGATACATTGATGTGTAAAGACACGAAACGATCGGTCTGTGCAAGAAACTGACGCGTCTTCTTCTTCTTGCTTTACGGCGGATCGCAGACTTATAAGTGCATTACCGCCACCTATCTCTCAAATGCACCATTGACACTCGTAATTGAGATTGTAGCTAGAGTGTCAATGGTGCCGTGATTCCCATTCACTTCCATTATATGACTGACAGACTGCAAC